ATGAAGAAATCTCATGCTAAGGCAAAAACACACTACAGAATAAAAATTTGATATGAACTCAATACATGTAAAGCCAATGTTATGAGACAGAAAAAGACTTTAAAATGATTAAGTTTGGGGCTGGGTGCAGTGGCTCACGCCTGTAATCCCAGCACTTTGGGAGGCTGAGAGATCAAGAGATCAAGACCATCCTGGCCAACATGGTGAAACCCTGTCTCTACTAAAAATACAAAAATTAACTGGGCATGGTGGCGGGCACCTGTAGTCCCAGCTACCCAGGAGGCTGAGGCAGGAGAATCGCTTGAACCCAGGAGGGGGAGGTTGCAGTGAGCTGAGATTGTGCCACTGCACTCCAGCCTGGACAACAGAGCGAGACTCCATCTCAAAAAAAAAAAATTTTTTTTTTAATAATTATGTTTGGGATGCTCCAGGAGATCAGTGAAGACAACACATCTATTAAAAAGAGGGCAGGACTGTGAAAAGAAGTTTGCAGCTTTCTCAAACAACTTAGAACTACCATTCAACCCAGCCATCCCATTACGGGGTATATATCCAAAAGAAAATAAATCATTCTACCAAAAAGACACCTGCACTCATACGTTCATTGCGGCACTACTCACAATAGCAAAGACATGGAGTCAACCTAGGTACCCATCACTGGTGGATTGAATAAAGACAACGTGGGCTGGGCGCTATGGCTCAAGGCCCTGTAATTCCAGCACTCTGGGAGGCCGAGTAGGGCGGATCACCTGAGGTCAGGAGTTCAAGAGCACTCTGGCCAACAAGGCAAAACCCCGTCTCCACTAAAAATACAAAATTTAGCTAGGTGTGGTGGTGCGCACCTGCAATCCCAGCTACTCAGGAGGCTGAGGCAGGAGAATAGCTTGAACCCAGGAGGCGGAGGTTGCAGTGAGCCGAGATCGGGCCAGTACACTCCAGCCTGGGTGACAGAGTGAGACTCTATCTCAAAAGAAAAAGGAAAGAAAATGTGGTACATGTACACCATGGAATGCTATGCAGCCATAAAAAAGAACAAGATCTTGTCCTTTGCAGCAATATGGATGGAGCTGGAGGCCATAAGCGTAAGCAAATTAACACAGAAACAGAAAACCAAATACTGCATGCTCTCACTTATAATTGGGAGCTAAACATCAGGTACTCCTGTACATAAAGATGGAAATGATAGACACTGGGGACTATGAGAGGGAGTAGGGGGGCAGGGTTGAAAAACTAGCTATTGGGTACTATGCTCACTTATCTGAGTGATGGGATCTTTACTCCAAACCTCAGCATCACACACTATACCCAGATAACAAGCCTGTACTTGTACTCCCAAATCTAAAATAAAAGTTGAAATTATTAAAAAAAAAAAAAAAAAAAAAAGAGAGAGAGAGAGGACAGGTTCTTTCCTCTCTCACTGGGCTTCTTCCTCATGCCCCAGGCTTCTAACCACAGCCCCCAGCTTTTCTGAGCCACCCAATACCCATGGACCCCAACCCCCTCTCCCTGAAGTCCATTAGTCCCACACACTGAGCCCAGAGCTATTCCTTTGCCTTTGAGGGCTCTGCTTGGCCATAGCCCCAGGAGGCCAGATGCCCTCTTCTCTCTCTGGGTGCTAGGCTTGGTAAGTTCACTCCACTGTGCTCCAGATCCTGCTCTTGTCTGCCAAATGCCATTTTGCAGAAGGTCTATTCTTCTGCGGTTTTGAGTGCTTTTTTTTTTTTGTAGCCCAAGCTGGAGTGCAGTGGCGCAATCTCAGCTCACTGCAACCTCCACCTCCCGGGTTCAAGTGATTCTCCAGCCTTAGCCTCCCGAGTAGCTGGAATTACACCTGCCACTAAGCCCAGCTAATCTTTGTATTTTTAGTAGAGACAGGGTTTCACCATGATGGCCAGGCTGCTCTCAAACTCCTGACCTCAAGTGGTCCGCCCACCCCAGTCTCTCAAAGTGCTGGGATTACAAGTGTGAGCCACTGCCTGCAGCCATGAGTGCTTTTTAAAAGAAGTTGGCTGGGTATAGTAGCTCATGCCTGTAATTGCAACACTTTGGGAGGCTGAGGCGGAAGGATGCTTGAGCTCAGGAGCTTAAGACCAGCATGGGCAACATAGCGAGACTTTGTCTCTACTGAAAATGTTTTTTAAGATTAGCCAGGCACGGTAGTGCATGCCTGTAGTCCCAGCTAATCTGGAGGCTGAGGCAGGAGGATCACTTGAGCTCAGGAGGTCAAGGCTACAGTGAGCTGTGATTGCACCACTGCACTCCAGCCTGAGCGACAGAGTGAGACCCTGTCTCTAAGTAAGTAAGTAAATAAATAAATAAATAAAGTTAATAGCTTTTCTTTTATAGAGCAGTTTTAGGTTTACAGAAAACATTGATCAGAAAATATAAAAAGTTCCTAAATGCGCCCCTCCCCCACCATCACCATCCCCCTACCAGAATGGTACATTTGTTACCATTGATGAACCTCCATTGACATATCAGCAGCACCCAAAGTCCATAATGTACATTAGGGTTCACACTTAGTGTTGTATATCCTATGGGTTTGGACAAATGTATGTTACTTATGCATTACAATCTTATGGAATAGCTCTGCTGCACTAAAAGTCCTCTGCACTCTGCCTGTTTCCTCCCTTTCTCTCCACTAGCCCCTTGCAACCGTGTACCTTTTTACTCTCTCTACAGTTTTGTCTTTCTCAGAAGATCATATAGTTGGAGTTATGCAGGAAGTAGCCTTGTCACATTGGTTTCTTTCGCTTGGCAGTATGCATTTAGGGTTCCTCCATGTTTTTTCTCGGTTTGATAGCTCATTTCATTTTAGCACTAATAATATTCAGTTGTCTGGATGTGCCACAGTTTATTTATCCATGCATCCACTGAAGAAGATCTTGATTGCGTCCAAGTTTTGGCAATTACAAATAAAACAGCTATAGATATTTGTGTGCACGTTTGTGTGTTATATGTAAATATTCAACTCATTTGAGTAAATAGGAACATGATTGCTAGATCATATATTAAGGGCGTGATTCGTTTTGTAAAAACCTGCCACACTGTCTTCTAAAGCGACCATACCATTTGACATCATCATCAACAATCAATGAGGGTTCCTGTTGCTCTAAATCTTCACCAGCATTTAGTGTTATCAGTGTTTTGGATTTTTGGTCATTCTACTAGGTGTGTGGTAGCATCTCGTTGTTGTTTTAATTTGCTAATTTCTTGATAACATATGATGTGGAGGATCTCTTCAAATGCTTATTTGCCATCTGTACACCTCCATTAGTGAGGTGTCTTTTTTCAGGTCCTTTGCCTTTTTTTTTTTTTTTTTTTTTTTTTGGAGATGGAGTCTTGTTCTGTCACCAGGCTGGAGTGCAGTGGCACAATCTTGGCTCACTGCAACCTCTGCCTCCCCAGTTCAAGTGATTCTCCTGCCTCAGCCTCCCGAGTAGCTGGGACTATAAGTATGTGCCATCATGCCCAGCTAAGTTTTGTATTTTCAGTAGAGACAGGGTTTCACCATATTGGCCAGGATGGTCTCAATCTCTTGACCTCAAGATCCACCCGCCTCAGCCTCCCAAAGTGCTGGGATTACAGGCATGAGTCACCACGCCCGGCCTGCCTATTTATAAATTGGATTGTTTCCTTATTGTTGAGTTTTAAGTGAACACTCTTTTATAACTACTGGTTTTTGAAAAACTGGATCTCTGGGTCCTTTCATAGCATGAACTATAAGCCACCCCAGTGTTCCCTGAAATGTTTCACAGACCTCGAGTTGGGATTTTCCCTTTCTTTCCTGACTCTCACAGGAGCTTTCTGATCTGTGGATGTGGAGTGTGGAATTGCACAGGCCATCACTGGCAGGCTTGCTTCCGGGCCCACTTGCGTACTAGAGCTGCAGTCCATGCATCTTGGCCCATCCTGCCGATGAAGTGACATTTGCAGCCACAATGCAATAGTACTTGTGACAAGCCATACAGTAGCAACTGCCAAGGCTTGTTTTAGTCATGTCAAAATCCCACAGGATACAATTCACCTCTCTCCCAGTCCTTTTACATCCCACATTAAAAAAAAAAAAATATATATATATATATATATATTTATATCTGGACAAGAGGAGGTTGGGTGAGCGGAACAGCACCAAGACTACATCAGCTACAGCAGTGGGTCAGCTTACACTCACCTTCTTTAACCCAGATGCCAGGTGCTGCTATAGTTCTACACAGAGCTGCTGAACAATGCACAGGAAAAAGCCTGGAAACAGGGTCAGAAGGATCATAGAAAAGATGAAATAGGCCAGGCACAGTGGCTCACACCTTTAATCCCAGCACTTTGGAAAGACCGCTTGAGCTCAGGAGTTCAAGACCACCCTGGATAGCATAGGAAGACCCCGTCTCTACAAAAATAAAAATGTAGAAATTAGCCAGGCATAGTGATGTGTGCCTGTAGTCCCTGCCACTTGGGAGGCTTCAGTAGGTGGGTCACTTGAGTTCAAGGGTTCGAGGCTACAATGAGCTATCACAGCACCACTGCACCCTAGCCTGGGTGACAAAGCGAGACCCTGTTTCAAAAAACAAAATAAACCAAAACAAGACAGAATACAGGGTTTGATCAGTATGAGCGATGGCTATGATTAATCTGATTTCTTCATTGACTGATTTGGACTTGAAGCATATGATGAGCTCATTACTGCTTCTCTGACCACAAAGTATGGAGGATTTTACATTAACTTGAGAACCCTGCAGTTAGGACAAGCACCAGAATCTGACGATGACTTCAACAGAGAAAAATCACCAAAAAAGTAGAAGTTGAAGGGAGGCGGTGAGAAAGTAAACAAGAAAGTTGACACTTTCAACAAGGAAATGAAATGGACAAAGCCCAGGTTTTCCAGAGCGGACTTTATAGCCCTCAGTGCTGGTAAAGGGAAGAAAGAATGTTCTTGGGGCTTTAAGGAATCAAGAGGTTTGAGAAATTTCAGAAAGAAATGGGCCCAGGAAAAATGGGGACAAGGAGCAGAAGCCTGTGGGAATTGGGAGCACCTCCCACCCCTTGCTCTCAACTTTCCGCTCTGCTTCTGACAATAGCTTGCTTCAGGCGGCCACTGCCATGGTCTCTCTGACAGATTTGGACTTGAAGCAGCTGTTCGATAAGTCTCCAGAAGGAAGAGCCTTCTGTGATATGGATGATGAAAGAGATTCCCTTAGGGTGGGATTGGCCTAGGAATTTGGAGTTCTCTTCCCTCCCAGAAGGCCTGCCAGTGCCGCTGAAGAAGGTCATTAAGGAGCTGGTTCAGGCTGCCAGAGCTGCTGAGAGAGAGAGCCAAAGGGAAGTCCTTCGCCCAGGATATGGGTGGCATCCTGTTGGACATAGAGGAGCAGATATGGAAGCTGAGCGGCCAGATTTGCTGCGAGGTGCATGGCCAGCCATCTCACTCCATGCCTGCCCTGCAGCGAGGACATCCTGGTCAAACTTGCTCAATACCGTCTTCTCTGTGAACTGTTGAGTGCATCTGAAGGAGCCTCTAGAGAAACTCAAAGAAGCCACTGGCAGGGCAATGCCAGAGCAGATGGCCGCACACCACGATGAATGCCCAGCAAATCACAAGCAAAGATTGCAAAGATGCTGGAGGAGGAGAGGGGCACGGAATAGAGAGAACAGGGTTTTGTTTTTTCTTGTTCTTTTGTTTTGTTTTCTGCTAAGGAAAAAAAGAAAAGAAGAGCAGAGCCTGGAAGAGATTTCTAGTGATGAAATCAAGGAGGTGCTCTGTGTGGTGGTGAAGATGAACCTGGAGGGCTGGGATCTGGAAGAAAACAAGACCCAGTGTGGAGGGGACTACGAGAAAGCTTGCCTGGGTGACAGAATGCACATTCTCTGACCTCAATGTGGGCGCAGCCCAGGTTTCTGTATAAGGAGAGCAGACCACAGCGTAAGTCCTCCACATTAATACTGAACAAGAAGAAAGTAATGGCGCCTTCTAAATTCAGAGTGAAGAAATAAATCATGGACTGAAACTGCTAAAAAGGTTCTCATGCCTTCAGCCCAAATTGCCAGCCTCACTGTTTTGCCTGCAGAACATCAGGGAGGTCGGCACACGGGGGCCTCAAACAGGATGCTCTCATGCAAGGCATCTGGCAGGAGCCTTGCTGATCCTGCTTTTCTCAATCTGGAAGACTCATTAAATAAAGACTTTAATGATTACTTCACCCCATTTGTTCAAAGCTGTGTCCAAGGAACTGGCTCTGTTGAATATCAGAGCAAGTGAGAGCCCTGAACTCACACCCCCAGACCAAGCTTGTCCAATCCATGGCCCATGGGCTGCACGCGCCCCAGGATGGCTTTGAATGCAGACCAACATCCAACACAAGTTCATAAACTGTTGAAAAACATTATGAGATTTTTTTTGCGATTTTTTTTTTTAGCTCATTAGCTATCGTTAGTGTATTTTATGAGTGGCCCAAGACAATTTTTCTTCTTCCAAAGTATCCCAGGGAAGACAAAAGATTGGACACCCCTTCCCTAGGCCTTTGGAAACACCTGCTATGGACTGAATGTTTGTGTCCCCACCCCAAAATTCATGTGTTGAAATCCTAATCCCCAGTATGATAATATTAGGAGGTGGGGCCTTTGGGAGATGATCAGGTCAGGAGGGTGGAGCCCTCATGAATGGGATTAATGCCCTTGTCAATGAGGCCCAGCCGGGTGTGCTGGTGCATGCCTGCAGTCTGAGCTACTTGGGAGGCTGAAGCAGGAAGACTGCTTGAGCCCAGAAGTTTGAAACCACCCTGGGCAACATAGTGAGACCCTGTCTTAAAGAAAGGAAAGAAAGACAAAGAGAAAGAGAAAGAGAGAAAAAGAAAGAAAGAGAGAAATCGAGAAAAAGAAAAAGAAAGAAAGAGAGGGAGGGAGGGAGGGAGGGAGGGAGGAGAGAAGAGAAGAGGCCACGTGCAAGTGGCTCATGCCTATTATCCTAGTATGTTGGGAGCCCGAGGCAGGTGGATCACTTGAGGTCAGGAGTTCAAGACCAGCCTGGACAACATGGTGAAACTCCGTCTCTACTAAAAATACAAAAATTAGCTGGGCGTCGTGGTGCACACCTGTAATCCCAGCTACCCAGGAGGCTAAAGCAGGAGAATCGCTTGAACCTGGGAGGCAGAGGTTACAGTGAGCCGAGATAGCACCACGGCACTCCAGCCTGGGTGACAGAGGGATTCCATCAAAAAGGAAGGAAGGAAGGAAGGAGGGAAGGAAGGAAGGAAGGAAGGAGGGAGGGAGGGAGGGAGGGAGGGAGGGAAGGAAGGAAGGAAGGAAGGAAGGAAGGAGAAAGAAAGAAAGAGACAGAGAAAGAAAGAATGGAAGGAAGGAAGGAAGGAAGGAACTTTCTAAAGCCCAATTCCTTTGGAGTATCACCCTCTAGCTCTCTGTAACCACCTCCTCAATTTCCTGGCTGAGTGGACAGTGGCCGTGGAACAGCCCTCTGAAAAGAAAAACCCCAGGAGTTCTTTCTAGCGACAAAGAGCTCTCCTGCCGGGCTCCCCTCAGCAAAAGCTATCCAGAGGAGCAATAGTCTAAATCGCAGCACCATGATTTGCCACAGACATCTTATGGGGACCCAGAACCTGGATCCAAGTCCGTCTTTTATGAACCATATCAACAGCACAAAAGCTTTGCTCCCATATTCCACTCAGCTTCATTTGGTAACAAGCTCTCAGACACAGAATCTTCCTCCTCTGAGTCTCAATATTCATTTCTCCAGGGCAGTCTCTTTAGGAGGCATTTTCAGCCCACCAGCAATAGTTTGCTTGAGAACCCAGCCTCATCCGCTACTTTCCTGAGCCATATGGTCAAACAGCATTCAGCCAAAATCTTCAGGGCCATCTTACAAGTTTCCTTCCCTTTGCTGGCTCCCAACATAGGATTTCTTTTAGCAGTTCCTCCTCCAGAGCACCACTTCCTCCTGGAAACTTACTTCAGGCATACAGCTTCCCTCCACTGGACAGTCTGAACTGTTTCCCAGAAACTGACCGTGGTGGTTCAAATGAAGAGTTCAGTGATGGCAGCCGGGGAGGAACAAAGCTACTGACCTCATCCTTGAAACCCACCATGGTTAGCAGCCCAGTGCTTCTCAGAAAGAATTTGCCTGTCATGATGAAATCTTGCTGTCTGGCTGGGCATAGTGGCTCACACATGTAGTCCAAGCACTTTGGGAGGTCAGGATGGGTAGATTGCTTGAGACTAGGAGTTCACAACCAGCCTGGACAACATGGCAAAACACCATCTCTACTAAAAATACAAAAATTAGCCGGGTGTAGTGGCGCATGCCTGTGATCCTAGCTACTCAGGACATGGGGAATCACTGGAGCCTGGGAGGTTGAGGCTGCAGTGAACCATGATCATGCCACTGCACTCCAGCCTGGGTGACAGAGCTAGAAAAAAAGAAAAGAAAGGGGGAGGGAGAGAGAGAGAGAGAGAGAGAAGGAAAGAAGGAAAGAAAGGAAGGATGAAAGGAAGGAAGGAAAGAAGGAAGGAAGAAACGAAGGAAGGAAGAAATACTTGCTATCTTGAAAAATAAAAAAAGGAGGCCAGGTATGATGGCTTATGCCTGTAATACCAGCACTTTGTGAGGCGAAGGTGGGCAGATTATCTAAGGTCAGGAGTTCAAGACCAGCCTGGCCAACATGGTGAAACCCCATCTCTACTAAAAATAAAAAAATTAGCCTGGCGTGGTGGCAGGCACCTGTAATCCCAGCTACTTGGGAGGCTGAGACAGGAGAATCGCTTGAACCCAGGGGGCGGAGGTTGCAGCAGTGAGCTGAGATCATGCCACTACACTCCAGCCTGGGAGACAGAGTGAGACTCTGTCTCAAAAAAAAAAAAAAAAAAAAAAAACCAATACCAAAAAAATTAAATTAAAAAGGAACTTGCTTGGTTCCTTTGGGCTTCACAGCTAAATCACTGGACATCTGGTGGAGGGACAGATCTTAGGATGGACAGAGTTCTAGGTTCAGGGGATACGACCATGAGTGTTTCTGAGTTCCTACACTGTGGTAAATCAGTTTATAAACCTATGTTTGAAGTCCACCAGATACTTTGGCATTTGGTCTGAGTACTTCATGGACTCCCATAGGCCAAGGGCTCCTTCTGGTTACAAAAGGATTCATAGAATGATCACGGTATGGGTCCCATCCTCACACTGGGTTTAACAGGACAGAAACCTGAACCAAAGACACAACTGAAAGACCTAGCCTTGTCTCTTGAAAAATACATTAGGAACACCTAATGCATACTCATCATGGGGGGCCAATTTCTCCTCTAAACATGACAATGAAGCTGTCTTAGAGAAAGGACTTTTATGGATTCATCAATTGCAAGATAATTGCGATAGGATTTTTGAAGGCACTTATTTGGGCTTGGTTTTCAACATTACCATTAACTGCACTGAATAGAATGATACTGTTCACGGGATGTCATATCATAGGAAGACATAATTCCAATGCCTTTATGGTGGAAGAGAATTAGATAGCTCACATCCATTTCAGCACTTGAAACACTTCTCGAAGACCTTTCTTAAAAGATATGTCTGTTTTTGAGGCAGAGACAGTTTTATTTAGCTGGGCTTTTTAGAGTTGCATTCTATAGGTTTGTGACATCCCGACTTGAAGGTCACCAGGGCCCAGAAAGCCAGCTTTCCAATCCAACCAGAGTTCCAGTTTTTCCAGAGCTCATTCAGGTGGACCCTAATGCTCTTGGAGCTCTTGTTGGTCAAATCTTCATTTCTTTATGAGCAGAGGTTACAAATGGTTCCAAGTCACAGACAGAAATGCCAGTTTGCTTCATTCTTCAAAACCCCTTGGCAACACCACAGTAACAGGTCTCTATGAAGCGTCTGTCATGTAGAAATAGGCCGTGAAGTCCTAGGACCCTGCATGCACTGGAGTATACATGAATTCAAGACAACATACAGTGAAGCTTGGAGGATGGATCAAGATGAACTAGAAGAGATATTCCAGAGCTTCCAAGTCACC